GATAGAGTGTTTGACCGGCAATTGGTTGACAGTAAGTTGTTTGCTTGAGCAAGAAACTATATCCTCATTGCTTTGTACTGGTTAGTTGCAGGAACGGACTCAAGTGTGTTTACATAAGCAGCAGTTTTGTCTTCACTATCAAGCTGATTATACATATGTATAAAATAAAGCAATTATAAAGTAATGACATTGTATATATATATTGTAGATTGACTTCACTTTGTGTAGTGGCTTGTTGTTTGCTCTATGTCTGGTCCTTATCTTCTTTGGATTCTCCTGTATCATTGTATATGCTACAATTGGCTACAGCTATGTAAGTATTGTTTATATTTAATTCTACAACTGTTCATGTATTTTTCTTTATGAATTCTGCAACTACAAATGTATTGTTTTATGATAAATTCTACAACAGTTTAAGTATTATTTATTATGAATTCTTCAACTCCAGAAGTATTGTTTTTAATGAATCCATTAGATTTACAATATACATTGTTAAAGAGAATGCCTTCAAAAATAAAGAGATAATCCTTTCTATAATTGCTTTATAATTTTTGATTGGTTGAACCATGCAGAGAACTTAAAAACGTAATTAAGTATATATGATTGAAAAGTAATACAATATAATTTAAATATTATAGCTTTATACATATATGGTGAATGTTTACTAGTGAAAGGAAAGGAAATTGCTACTCTAGAATATAATCACTGGTTGACCTGATTTACACAAATAATTTTATACTGTGATGCTGTTCTTGAGTAATTGGCCTAGAATTTAATAAGAAAGGCGGGGCTAAATTGTTCAGTCCTTAAAACTGGAAAGGTCTATAAGATAAGAAAACAAAATATTTTAATTGTGTATTTTAAGATTTTTACTTTTATATAACTAAGAGGTCTCTGTTTTTCCTGTTACAGATTCTGGACTGTGTATATGGAGGACTTGCTGCCCTGGTCTTCTCCCTGGTAAGTTATGACTCTTTATATCTTATATATTAAAAACAACAAAGGTAAATCTAAATGCCCCCCCCCCCCCCACGTAAAGTGGGGGCACAAAAAATCTGGTTTGTTTACCATGAACATACATTACATGTGTATTCAAAGCTGGAACATCCCGATATGACCTATACTATGTGGATGTGACGTAAAACCCAAAACAAACAAAAGCAAACAAAATTTAATGGCACCAACATCAAATCAAATGCCTGTCACTGCAATCAGTTTGATCATATGCCTGCCCATAACTGCAGTGGTTTTGATATGGAAACTATTTGACTGACTATTTTAGTGTCATCAAAACTTAAAACCTTAACAAAAGATTGTAAAAATCAATCATTCCTTGTAATAAGTACATATAGATAACACAATTTGTTTCATAAGTCTGATATATATACAAGTACATATTGTTTTACAATGTTCTCATTCTATTCAAAACAAGTTTGATTTTTTTTAGAAATTCAGAACAGAAAGCATTACTGCAGATGATGTTTATCAAGTAGAAAAATATATTGATATTTACTTTCACTTTTAACAAGATCATGTACTCTTACAATCTGATGATAGGTCTGCAGAGTTGTTATCTCCCCTCACTTGTTTTGCTAAATAAAGAAAAATATCTTATATTAGTACTTGCAACAGCCTGTTCCAGTTTACATAATGATTTAGGCAGTTTCTTTAAGATGATATAAATATACAATCAGTTAACCCTTACACTTCTGGTACCAAAAAAGTGTTTTACTTTTATCACCATTATAGAACTTGGTCATCATATTCTAATACTTGTGTGCAGTCTTACTTATGAAAAGTTCCAGGTTGAAATCTGGATAAGTCCATTTGATCAATAAAATTTGGTAAAAGAGTTGTTGAGGATAAGAAATGAATTGAAAAAAATTGTGAAAACAATTTCAGAAAAAATTGTGAAAAATGGTTAAACCAGTGTTAATTCTGCTTATAGGGTGCATTGGTGGCCGAGTGGTAAAGATCATTGACCTCAAACCACTCGCCTCTCACCACTGTGGGTTCAAATCCCTACAGGGACTCTGGATTATTCATGTGAGGAAGCTATCAACCTAGCTTATGGAACATCGGTGGTTCTACTAAGGTGCCTGTTCGTGCCTGAAATAATGCACGGAAGGGCACCATAGGTCTTCCTCCACCAGTAAAGCTAGAACATTGCCATATGACCTATACTGTGTCGGTGTGACGTAAAACCTTATCAAACAAACAAACAAAATTCTTCTTATCAACAGAACAGCAAAAACAATTTAATAGAGTTGAGGGGATGAAATAAGTTTAACCAATGTTTTTTTTTTATATTGATTCTTCCAAAAAATATTTCTGTGGAGCATATATCCTTCCTTTAATTGCTCAATCATACCTTCTATTTCTCATTGCTTTTATTGAACGATTTATTGAATATGTATGTAATTTATATAGACCAATACCTCTAAATAGGGCCTCTAGTTACTAAGCTTCAGGTGAAAATAGATTTTCTACCTTTCCTTAAAATGAAGTCAAGGCTTTAAGCTTCACTAATTTGACTTCAGGAGGTTGGGGGCATTCATTGGTGTTACTATACTATTCAGGTATTTTTTTCTTCTTTTTAAATGGAAGATCCACAATTATTCTTATTATTCTATTTTCAGTTCCTGATCTATGACACACAGATGATTGTTGGTGGAAGAAAACATGAGATGAGTCCCGAGGAGTATGTGTACGGGGCACTTCAACTCTACATTGATGTTGTATACCTTTTCCTGATCATTCTCTCCTGTTTCGGAAAGTCAAATTAGTTGTCATAGAGACAAGCTCTTTGTTCAAGATGGATATTGTTTGTAACTGAGAAAACTTTGATGTTTAATAATTTAATTCTTTTGATCATTAAATAAGTAAAAAAATTCCATAGAGCAAAGAAAGAAAATATAGCTTCATAAAATGATTTGGTTCATTTGAAAAGAAAGTTGGAAGATATTATTGATTGTATATGAATAAAAGTTGCAAAAATAGCAGTTACAGAAGTTCCATTTAAAGTCACATCAAAATAAAGTTGATGCATTTTTATTTGACACAAAATATGATTGATATTTGCAGGACAAATGATTAGTTCATATTATACATGGTTTTTGAAAATATATATGTGACAATTTACATATGTTTCAATATAAATAGTGTTTGAAGGTTAAAATATGAGCCGCGTCATGACAAAACCAACATAATGGATTTGCGACCAGCATGGATCCAGACCAGCCTGCGCATCCGCGCAGACTGATCAGGATCCATGCTGTTTGCTTACAACTTTATTACAAGTGGAGAAACTGACAGTGAACAGCATGGATCCTGATCAGACTGCGCGGATCCACGCTGGTCGCAAACCCATTATGTTGGTTTTGTCATGACACGGCTCAAATGAAGTTAAAAATAAGCAGGTGTTTAACAGTGCTTTATGAGTTTAATGTCACATTTTATGTTTAATAAAATGAGAATTGATTTTAATGTACTTTTCCATCACATGTACTTTAACTTTTAATAAAAAAAAATCAAATGTCTTGAGGACATAAAATTAAAACCACAAGTTTACATTTAAAAATGAAACTAGACAGTTTATAGGTTTCTTGGCCCAAGATTTTGCACTTTTATTCTGATATATTTTTTTAAATGTTGCAACAATATATTTTGTGTTGGGGTTAATACTTTTAGAGACATGATTTCTTGAGAAATCAGAAAAGGAATATAACTTTTTTATGACAACATTTTTTATGAGAATTCATAACCTTTTATTATTTTTTTTATATATGTTTTATTTTATTTTAAACTATGCCAAAAAAGCAAAAGAATTACAAAGGATTGACAAAAACATAAAACATTCGCATTTTTTTTATATGATTATTTTAGTTTTAAGGAAGAATGATAAGAAATTGTTGACTGCAAAGTTTTTGTCCATTTTTGTTTGAGATTTGTCACGAATAATGTCATAGTATAAGGAAGTTTAAGTTTTATTTTTAAAATAAACAGTGCATTGTTTGACATTTTCAATAGTATGTGAACATTTAGTAATTATTCACTGTTTTAAAACCCATCTGTGTTAAAAAACAATAATGTTGTATTTTTACAAGGTACTGGACCATACTGTTTTCTTGATGGCACATTATGCCTCAGATATCCATGTTGTTGTAAAATTCTTGTTTAAATAATGAAATTAAAGCATATAAGATGTTTAACAACTGAAGAAAGTTGTACTAAATGTCCAGTAATGTGTCCTAAATGTAGAAAATGTAAACAAAGTAGTATTTCGACTTCCATTCAAATACTCATTCAATATGATTATTCTCAATGCTAACAGAGCAAAAGAAATAAAAGATAGTTCATCCATATGTGGTCAATGAGTATATTTTAACAACTGTAACAAAATACCATAATTGGAATTTTTTTTGAGAAATGAAAAATTTTGAAAATGGTAGCATTTCTTAGGCATAACGGGACTTAAAGTATGTTTGTGAACTATTGATGCCATGCTTTAATGGAAGGAACCTTCAAAACAATTCCATTTTCATTTTTAAGGTGCCTTGTATTTAGTAAAAACAGTTACAGGGTTGTAAATGTATTTCATATATAAACTTCTTATTTCTTTGTTAACATCATATTTTGTTTAAAAAAATTGTCATAAAATTGACATTATGTCATTATAAGCTCAACTCATACTTTTCATAAGTTATATTTAAGATTTTTACTCTTTTGATATTCTTTGTGTTGATAAGGAATTTTTTAACAAGGGTGCAACAATTTGGTCAAAACTGTTTATGTGTATATAATGCAGTACAGTCAAGTCAAATTGCAATACATACAGGTAACGGTTGAGATAAATTTATATAAGCGTAGCAGTGCTTTTAACCATTGCAATCATGAAGCCAAAATACATTGATTGTTAATTAAAACTGATGTAAAACGTAAGCTTTGGTTGTTTTAAAAAATGTTAAAAAGCTCTACCGACTTTTATCAACATTTTTGTTGAATATCATAGTATTATCTTTATTTAGTATTCAATATATGTATGTATATGCCATATATAAACCAGATATACATTACTGACACTACAGTGCTTGAAACAGTAAAAATGTTTGTTAGTATATTATTATGAAATATGAATGAAAATATTGTACATGTAGTATGATTTTCTGTTCCATGGAATAACAGTATCATCTTGCATGGCATATTTGTTAAGCACTTTATGCCATATTAAAGTACTGTAAGTAATCATAATATTCCATACCCAGCTGGAAACTCCACTGAGGTTAAAAGCTTTAAAACATACTATTCTGAATTTTTGCCAAGATCAAGTGAAACATTTAGAATGGAAAAATCTAGAAAGGATGATAATGAAATATGCCCTAAATTAAATGATAAATCAACTGTTTGTGTGATTTTTAACTCGATTTGAATGAAAGCGTTGTAATGCTTTTCATTTTTGGAGTCATTTTGTACCATTGTTGAAGAAATGATCTAAAAAAATTTGCACATAAATTATTTCTCCAATCCTACATCAAATTGTACACAAATAAAATAACTTATTTCTTATTTCTAGCCCTGTCAAATTCCTCAGTGGAGTTCCTTTAAGTGAGTAACATATGCCACCTGTTTAGAACCAGGCTCTATATTGTTAGTGGCTCAACTTGTATATTTTGATAGTAATATCCACAAAACTTGGATTTGATTGTTCCAAATTCAAAGCTTGACCATCTAATATCAAAGGGGTACAATTCCATTCAAGAAATACGACAGGTTAAGACCTGAGAGATGTTTTATGTAATGTTTTTAACCCCTGCAATGATGAAGCTAAAACTGCAGAGGTTTTATCTCCAGCATAGATCCAGTAAGTCAGGTTCAGGTTGTTTTTGAAAATAGAAGTATAGTACAAGATCATTCTGTACATTCAGCAAGTTACAGGTAAAAGTCTCCTAAAAAATTTCACATGCAATTTCAATAAAAATTCTACAGGGGATGATCAGTTTCAAATTAAGGCTTTCTGGTTGTATGAGTTATGGCCCTTGTATAAAAAAGGCATTTTGGCCTGTTTGTGATTCTTGTGTTGCATACCTCAAAGTAGTTTCAGCATGCTACAAAGTAGCCCCAACATAAAGGGATCAAACTGTCCATAACCCCTCAATACAACTGCTTAATTTGTTATCATCAGATGGCAAATGTGATCACTGATTGCTGTTGTTCTATTTTGTGACTCATCAGGAAAGTTTGTTTATTCTGTCATTTCAGTAAAATAAAAAAAATGAATAAAATTTTAATATATGAAAATATTTAGAGTATTTTCTTATTTTTTTTGTCAGTGTACATCAAAAGCTTGGTAATTGTTTCTTGCATGTAAGATGCTTAGACTTTCTGAAATACACCTGTTATTTGTATATAAAAGACTTGAATATTGTGTTGATAAGTGTTTGTCTATTGTTATATCTATATGTGTCTTATTTGCATATTTCAAATATTTTGCAAAAAGATCAAAATTGAAATCATGAAAATATTGACACTAAATGAAATTTTTATTTGTTGCTTTTATCTCCATGATTTTAAGACTTGCTATGTCTCATAAAGACAGATTAACATTGTATAACAACATTCAATTGGGACTCCAATTTCAGTCTCTTGATGTTTTAGTGTTTTGGAACCTTTAAAAAGAACCCGAAAGTTTGTCTTTGATTACTTCTTACATAGAAATACTAATAAAATGTTAGTTTTAGATGTACTTGTACTTCAAAAAATTTAGAATAATTTATAAGAACAATGACTATCTTGAGTTTTGTTGGAAAAACATAGAAGATATTTAAGAATTTTCTATAAACACAGGATTTATTTTCATACAATTGTATGAAATATGATAATTTTCATTCCAGAAGATGAAAATAAATCCTGTATATGTAGAAAAAAACTTGAATTTTCTGTTTATAAAATACTTTTTTCTCTTATTTGGCCTTACGGTTCTTTAGACTTCTCCTTCAATGTTCTGTAACGGCTGAATTAAGAGGAAAATAAGTCTAGCAAGACACTAGTGAAAATATGGAAAGTATGTTTCACTGCAGTGACAAATAAATTTTTACAGTGAAAATACAGAATATGAAAGTACACATTTTCTTTCATCCGTATTTCTCAATATTTCAATTTTAAGTTTATAATAAAAATATTTATTACAAAAAGTTATTATATGAAATGTTTGAGATCACGTCATCTTTTTGTAGTGTTACCAGTATGTCACGAATCATGTCAGAGAAATGGCAGAGTTTTGTAGAGTTATGGCACTTGTTTTGAAGGAAGTCGTGTAGATTGCTTGCTTCTTTTGATATTATAGATTAACTTCGTAATTGTTGTATCATTATGTGTTGTTAATTGAGGAACAAATTGTTTTTGAGCGTGTATATACATTCTGTATACTTCTTTATCTATTGTTAATCATTTTGTTATTTATTTTGTGTTGTTTTTATAATACATGTATGTAGTCATTTTAGAGCTTTCTGTGACTTTCTGATTCACATGTATATCTCCGTCTTTAAAATATTATTCTTTTAGGCAGTATTCTACAATACAAGAGCTCATCCTTACTTTGTTAATTCAATCAGCAAGTTATTGAAGAAGTCAATGTAGAGGTCAAAGAACATTGTTTTATAGATTGTAAATGTTTCTTTATACGCAAGGGTAAAGCCTAAAATATTTCTAGCCCTTATATCTATGAATTAAGAGTCTCATTTATATTGCTGAAAATACTCATCTTTGAATAAATTAGAGCAAGAGACTAATTATGTAAGTAAGAAGTTATTTATTGTAACTTGATCATGATTTACATTGTATAGTATGTACATAAATACAGGTCTTGTTAAATATGACAATACATGAGCTTATATGATTACTATAACCATCAAAGGCGGAATAAATTGGTCACATTGTTTATGTAATCTTCAATGTACTGGGCCAGAATGATTTCCTTATTTATACCTTTAAGAAGTTGAATCTTTCGTTTTTATTTATAAAAACAACAACAACAAAGCAAAGTGACAAGATACCAGATTAAATAAAAAGATAAGACTGTAAGCTGTCTAGAGGTCATGAATTTGACCAATACCTGATCATAGTGATGTTTCTACTTACACATAGTACATATGTCTATTTTTTCAGGGCACATTCCATCTAAAATCCCTTGCCTTCCTGTAAATTTACAGGGACAAACTGAAGATAAGAATAATTTTTATTGATCGTTATAAAATTACAAAATGAAATCTGGTAATCTAATTGGCCATTCTAAAATAAAATGTAAAGGATAGTTCTTGCCATTCTAGGATAGTTCTAAAAGAAAATGTAAAGGATAGTTCTTGCCAATCTGACTAAAGTTCAGATCTTCTTGTTTCTTTCATGTAGATCTGATGATGAGCATATATGTTTCGCCAACTTTATAGCATTGAAAAATTGCTTGTGGACCCGAACTCTCTTGCTCTCATCATTGCCTCTAATCAACATAATAAATCTCTTTTTTTGTTTTCATTGCCCTAAAGGGATCTCGCCTGTTCAGATATTAAAAAAAGATTTATTGCCATAAATATAAATTGTATAAAATTTAAATAGTTTTGTTCTTCTATTTCTTATTTCTGATATTGATTAAAGCATATAGTTTCTTATCTTCTTTCTTACTAATATATAGTCTATGATTTCGAACATAGTATATCTTTTGTACAAAAACGATATATAACAGCATTGTTTAATATTAAGTATTATTCTTTTAGTATTTACTAGTAACTTGACATTGTGAATTCATGAATAAAGTTTTGTTTTCTAAAAATATGTGGGTTGTTGTTTTGTATCTCACCAATGCACAACGTACTCAAGGTGAGTTATTGTCATAGCTCAACGTTCGTCGTCTGTTCACCTTCCGTCCGTACAGCATCTCCCAAACAACAAGGCTAATAATATCTCAATTTTCTAGGAAATGTCCATTAAGTGATCTTACTTTAAAGATATTAAAAAATATATAAATTCAATGCAAAATTTCTGGTTGCCTTGACACCTATTAGAAAAATCTTTAGAAATCATCTTGTTTGAAATAATAAAGGCTTAAGCATAGATATTTGGCATAAAACATGTAGTAGACCATTATAAAGCTTGTTCAAATAATCGCCCTTGTGATCCCAATTGGCCCTGCCAAAAGAGGTCATTGAGTTTATAGTATTCTTTAAAAATCATCTCTTTTGAAGTCATAAAAGTTAGAGCTTAGATATTTGGCATGAAGCATTATGCATGATCCTCTATCAAGCTTGTTCAAATTAAGCCATTGGACATCAAAACTTGGGCCTATGGGTTGTTTATATGTGTAAAGAAAAGTATGAAAAAGTCTGGAGCCATAAAGATTAGAGCTTGCATATATGGCATGAAACATCACCCAGTAGGCCTCTACAAGCTAGCATGTTCAAATATATCCCTTGGGTCAAAATTGGTCCTGTCAATGAGTTTGTCTTATGTACGAGTATATAAAACATCTTTGAAACTTTAAGGGCTAGAGCTTAGATATTTGGCATGAACATTGTGTAATGGACCACAACCAAGCTTGTTCAGGGTTAGTAAGATTAAATTTACTTATCTAGTAAATGAACATGCCTGAAATATCACCTGCAACTGAATTGCCGAAAGCATCGATGTTTGGGATGTATCATCTTCAAGAAAAGTGGTATAAATCGTGCCACTAGGGTCATATTTGGCCTCTCCCTGAGGGTCACTTACTTTATATATAGACTTTCTTACTAGGAAAACAAAAGTAAGTGGTCTTGTGTGAAACAACATAGTATTGTCAGATAGCATTCGGCCATAGTTCTCATTGTGATATTAAGATGTTGATATGATTTCTAGTTTTTCAAAGTGCGAGCGATAAAGAGTTCATACTTGAAGGGGCGGGGGGTTTCATCTAACTTACACCTAAAGCAATACGTTCACTCATTCTGAAATAATGGAAACCTTGCCAGCTGCCGCCCTTCCTTGTTGATCTTGTTTTTATATTTTCTTGGAACGTTGATGACTATGTCGGCGTGACTTGAAACCTGCCATGAAAAGGAAATGGTATTTTTTTAAAATAAATAATATCTAGTTGTTACTATTGTTGTTAGTGGTATGAACAAAAATATATTTATAATGAAACAGAATACAACTAGGGTTAGTTATTTGTCAGAAATTGTTTTGATGTTTGGCGTTTAAAGAACCACACTATCATTAACGGTGCACCTTTCTTAAACTGACTGTTAACTGTTTTTCTGAGATTAAAATCTGATCTTGGCTTTTAAAGTATAATTTCCACACTTGTCAATCAAACCGGCATTAAAAGATTCGCATTGTGCGCAAAAATGTACATGATGCTCGTGTCTAGAATAAGTTTGCAATTATCTCAAATTCTATTACATTTAAACTGCCAACTAATTTTATTTTGATACAGAAGTTTCTTGTTTAGATTAATTTTAAATGAATATGCAAAAATATTCGACATTCTTTGCATGAAATACAAATCAAAAAACAAAATTTATACACTTTATGTTTGGAATGTAGTCACATGACTTTTTGCTTTTTGTTTCTGCCTGAATAATACGGGAGTATACACAACATAAATATAATCGCTTTGTGTATATAAAACATCTTTATATTGTTGTCGTTGAAGTGGAATTTATTGAAAGAGAACATATCATTTTACATTCTCTAAAGGATCCTATTATACAATAAACCTTTTGTCATTTGATTTAAATTTGTCAAGAGACACTGTCATGAGGGTACACAAATATGTATTAACTATTCTACGAAGCCTTAAGTAGATATTTAAAGAAAAAAAATTACTGTAGGGATTGTGATGTATCTATATTCCCGCATTGATGAGATCATATATTTTGAGTATAGATCTCGAGTGTATTTGACATACAAACTATTCACTGTTTCTATAAAACATTACTTTTATCTGTTATTCCATTTGAGATATTAATTTAAAAATCAACTCTGAAAAGCTATGAACAACAAACCAGAAATCAATCAAGTAAAATACCATTGGTGTAAACTAGCAAAGAAAGTTTGAGCAAAATACAAAATCATTTTAAGAAACAAAACCAAAATGAATAAATTACAAATGACAAAGTGTTATTCGAAAGAAATATGGTTGAAAGAAAAACGTTGAATATTTCCTTAACATCAAATGAAGCATGCACGAATTTATTACTAACCGTATTAAAAATAGCAACATAATATTTTGTTCAATTCTATTCTGTTTACTAACAATAATTATTTATGTATTTAAATTACCGAGCCATAGACCCTTCTTAATATTACCTCATACATATTCATAGATTTCTCAGAACGAGGCTAACAGGGCAAGCTGCGGTATCTGCTCTATGTAAACATATCACTTATATATGGCCGAAAGATTTTTCTACAGTGTCAGAGATCTTGATAATGTTCTGTTTGCTACATACTTGTTGAGAACTATATTTAATATTAAAAAAAATCTCTTCTGGAGATGAATAAATCAACAAAGGGTTTAATTTACACTATATACAGTGAAGGACATACAAGACCTGATAAGTCAATTCTGGGACATACGATAATCGTATATCCCAGGTCAATTAAAGTTTTTGGTTATTACAAATAATTTCTAATATTCTTTGTCAGTATAAATATCAGGTTAACTCTTTGCAACTTAAATAGACATTATCTGCGTTATCATTATTTTATTGCTAACCTCAACACATGTTGGTCAAGAGTGTATTAAGTAATTAACTGATAATAGATGTAAACAGTTGGATGCTGAATTCTGTACCATACTTCCCCTAAATTTAGCTATTGAAATAAAAAAGTTTAAAAAAGTTTTATTCACTTTGTATTTAAAAGTAAAAAATTCTGGATTACTCTCTAGAAACTGGTTAATTTTACAGACAGCCTCATCAAATAAAAATGATATTTTGATATATGATATGACACCCCGTCTTATACATTTCAATGGATTTTCAGTATCATAACACATGATGTTGTTTACAGCAATGTAAAAATACATTTCATGCTAAGTAAGGAACGTAAAACTTATATATTATCAACTATTTAATTAATTATAGTATAAAATATTTAGTATATAACGAAATACAATCATTTGATTGCAAATATCAGTCAAATCTTAAGACGAAGCTGAAGTATCATTAAATTATTGCACTTGTCCAGTTGGTCTGACTTGATTATGTGGTCATCTTGTTGGAACCCTCAACTGGCTGGTATATAACAAATCATTAGGGAACACGGCACTTCCAGAGGATGTTGCCTGGACTTACCAACCCCAAATATTCCATGTACAAAGGGGACTGAACATTCGCAGAAAACCTATGCAGGACGTTGCAGTCGGAGGGTATTAGGCAAGGCAGCATCGAGTTTTAGCACTTCTTTTAACATTCCAAGGCATATTCTCTCAACGATATAATGCAATAAGAGGACAAAATACTAAATGTAATAAACATGTTGACATATTCCCTGCACCATATATGTAACAAAGCACAATGTTAAAAACAAAGTAATGCAATGATTTCTTTTAAAGTTTTTATTTAAATTCAAGGCGCAAAAGACTGAACAAATGGTCCTTTAAAATATGCTAAAACATTTGGCAAGTCAAGCTGATTGTTTTGCTAGCATCATAATAAATGTTCTTAATGTTTTTCCTATTGAAAACTGTAATGAATATATAGTAAATTTTGTTGGAAATCCTGTATAACATTATAAAATATACAACTGTCAACATTTGAAAATTTGTTTGTATTAAACGTTCAATATCACTGTTTGTTTTCTTCCTTAGTTTTCTGTAATACTTCTTTCAACTGTTTGATAGTTTCTTGCCACTGCCATGAAGAGATATTACAATTACAGGCGATTCAAATACCAATTGTCAATTTGTGTTCATGACTGTTACCAGTGGAATTCCTGAAAAATATATACCTTTTATTTAGAAGTGGAAACACGAATTATGCCATTTCTAGAATATATCAATTTATATTTTAATTGCAAATATATTTTTTACAGGGGCTAAACTTTGTTTATGTGTAAAAAATGAAAATTAAGTCTTGTGTATACCTTTCATCTGGTAATGAAATCTTCTTCTTTAGTGTTCATCTTACTGGTCTGTTGATTATTACTCCATCTACAGGGTACATTACATCTGTTCTCTTCAGACATATATATGAATTTATGTCCATGATTGTTAATCTTATTGTGTGAAATGCTTCAAAACGAGCAACTATTGCAAAATATTGATCTGAAATAGTAAATAAAATAACCGTTATTGCTTTTAGTATAAAAACGGTATTGATTTAGATTCTGAAGCAATTATGTTTTAAATGTTATCTGTGATATAAGTGTGATATTTTAAATGAAATTTATGAACAAACATATTGTTATGTTTATATAAATGAAACATTTAAAACAATGAGAAATGAGAGTAATTAATGTAAGTAGTAATACAACTTAAGTAGCTTGGTTTAAAAAGAAAAGAACAATGGTATTTTACCTTGAAATGTTCTTTCATCCATCTTATTTTCACAATCCTTTCTTTTGTTAAACTCACATCCTTAGGTATTTTATGAAAATTAACGGTATAATCATATATCTAGAATTGGAATAACAGAGTGGAATAAAAATGAGATTTCCCCAGTAAGTTTAACACACTAGGGCTTATCAGGTCAGACATTATTTGTTTACATTCATGCCCTGTTAGCCTCTCTCTGGTGATGGAATGTAAAGTATGCATATAATTTGAGAAAGGCCTATTCTATGTTACACGTCCTTCAAAAATCTACCATAAGATTATGAACACAACATTATATTAACGTTTATATATTGTACAAAGCTTTCTAACCGACTGACGCTATGATAAGTGTTATGATACTGCCTTGAACATTTTTTATCAGATCACAAAACTATTGTAATCATATGGTCATAATAATAGACATGCGAGAATAACACAGAACGAATATAACACAAATTATTTCGATTGGTTGTGGTTGTACACTTTCCATGATTAATTGTCTTAGATAAATATTGGATATTCTTTCTATATATTATACTGTTGTCTTAAAAGAATTGTTCTTTAAAAATATATATACCATCCTGTTTTAATCGACGTTTCTGTGGTGTATCTTCTGTTGAAACTTACCCAAATTGAAAATCTTACAATTACGTACGGGTAATTGCGAAAAAAACAACAACAAAACAACAACAACAAAACACCAACAAACATTTCATTATGACTCTAAAAATTATATTACATTAAAAGTTTTACACCCCTGCAAATAATCTATTTTTTATTTTAAATATATGACCATATTTCATAGACGTATCCTGGTCTTCTACTAAACATTTTGCCTCAGTATATACACGATTATTCAATTGTAAGCAAGACAGACAGGTTAAGTTTTATTTTAAAGGGCGTGGTATCAATGTAAAACCAACGATTATACGTAGACTACTCAACAATCTTGAATTGTAAATGATATTTGCATTCATTAGCGACATAACATTAGATAGACATAAATATTTTACAAATCATTATATTCAGTTAAATTTCCAATAATTTACAATAAATCTTGGGAATTGTTAGAATAAATTAAATCATGATGGTGATTTTGTATACTGTTTCATCAGCCGGTGTCCAGGAGCATGATAGGTGTTACATTTTCCTCCGACTTTCTAAAGAATATCTTAGCTTTCTCTACATTTTTAATGTTAATCAAGCGTTTATTCAATTGTGAGTCCTGAAAAAGTTGGATTGCACTTTTTCCTCCATGTAATTTTATTTTTCTTGTCTTTTGAAATCCGTGACTGTTCGCCAATATAATTCTGCTTTTTTATTTTGTTAAACGCCATTTTGCAAAACCTTGCTACTTATTCACGTGTGATAATCGCATTTCGAAACAACAACAACAACAACAACAACATCAACAAAAACAACAACAACAACAACAACCACAACAACAACAACAACAACAAAAAACAACAACAACAAAAACAAACAAATTAAGCATATCAATATACGAGTAACTAGCAATCTGCCGGGATTGAAAATCAGTAACACCAAACCATTACTGATATTAAGAAAGTATTCTTTAGATCTACATGTGTCTAAACTGCCTGTCTGACTACCTTGTATCAGTAAATAAACTAAATACTCCAATAATACAGAAGTAGAAAACCTAAAATCTACTTACACATACAAAACTTTCTTTTTTTGCAAGATAAAAAACAGGTTTTTGACTTATATTCTGTTGATCGAACATATTAAAATTAACAAGTTTATTTTAGCAATTACGTAAAACAGTTTTCATATACATATTATCTTCTAAAATGTAATATCAGTTTACCTACAGTGTGTAGATTTTACACCGTTACATATGTTTTCTGAAGGTACTCAAAAGTAGTTATTTTACATAAAAAAAGACAGTGCAGTAAAGATCAGTATTTTCAAAATTTTCAAATTTGAAGAAAAATAATATTTATTCATAAAGACTGTAATGATGTTCCAGTAAAAGATGTTAAGTGTTTGGAAATCGAAGTGATATATTTTATTCGTATTCATATTCAACTATACGAATATATTCCATTTAAATATACCTATGTTTCTTGTCAATGGAACACATTTTGCTAACGTGGTAAAGATACAAAAAATCTTTTTCACATATAAATGTAACAATCAAAACAGTTGAACGATTGCAATATTTTATTCACACTTGTATATTAACGAGGTGTTTGTTTTGGTATGAAATTATAAAAATACACAATTTGTTTACTTTCTTCATGTTTTAGTAGATATATTTCTTTAAATATATCATTTTTCCATTTTGCTTTTATTTGCAAACAAAAAAAACTGGCATTTAAAAACGAAATGTCTTGACGGCGGGGGTTGTAAATGTCTATATGAAATAGAAATGGCAACAGAAACATCGTGTCGATTGATTATTTTTTTCTTCTTCTATTTTTAGTAACCCGAGACATGCTACATGATAATTTAAATTAATTCAGATTACCACGTTACCATTTGAACCAAAGAAAGTAACTTGAGAAAGCTTATATTACAAATGACATGTTGTACGTGATTGTTAGGAAATATGAATATTCTGATTATATCTCATAATAAAAAACTGTTACTATTTTTTTCTGAAACTTAGATATTCGTAAGTTGAAAAACACTTGATTTAATTGAAACTCTTTGTGAACGGCAACTAGTGATTTTATTTGTCCTCATACAAATCAAATTGTTTTAACGATTTGCTATCAAAGAGATATTCTATTTAGAACGAAAGTGTTATTGATCATAAAGAATCCCTTTGCTATTGTGTATTTAGTTTATAATATTCTGCTGCAGTATGAAATACACTCTATCACATTTTTACTTTATTTTTTTCGACTGAAAAGAATAAGGCGATATATACCAATCCAGTAACTGCTCAATCTACTGTTAAAAGGTGGTATGCCGAGTGAAAAAGAAGTATACCACGGTACACTAGAATTTTTAAAATATGTCTTTCAAAGAAATATTTTCAATAACTGCAACTCCACAACAAGCTATGCAATGTTTCACCACGCCCACTGCCTAACCATAATCAAAGGGTTTATATGAACCAGTCACACAATACATACTAAATGTTTCAATTTTTATATTAGCTTTAAGCAAATGGCAAATTGTTTGGCTTATTTTGTTTTTTAAAAAATTGATTGCTTACTGGATTGGTATATGTTGCATAATTGTTTTCAGCAGAGAATGACATGTGCATGAGCAAAGAAGGTATCCTTAATCCTTTTTTCTCAGTGAAACACCCGTATTATGTATTGTAAAAAAACGATTGTGTAAAACAATTGTATTGTCATTTGAAATCATGGATGTTACTTTGCATGAACCTACATGATTAGGTGATATACTTACAGGCAAACGTGACAGGCCAGTCAAATGGCCTGAATTAATGACACACATTTGCCAAAGGTTTATTTTGACGGACAAGTACTATAATGACCATTTCAGTAAAGGTTGTATTATTTTCTTAATAACGTCCTCACAACTAGTCAAGAATAATTATGTCAGGCGGAAAGAACACAATTTGGTTAGAAGGGGGAAGTGTTACCGATGTCACAAATAATATTGAAAATATTTATCAAAATTGATTTATCCCCAGGTTGTTCTTTTGAAATATATTTGGTTCAAAAATGATAATTTTTTTAAAAAAAAATCATATCACAAGAAAAGCCACACCTTACCTGAATGTTAGGACTAACGTTTCTTTTTTATATTTCTTGTCATTTTAACCTTTCACAGTCTAAAATTCATATGTTAACAAACCTAACATTATTTCCGAAAACTAATGACCATACTTAACGCGTGAATATTTTTGCTTACATAAAATATCATTGCAATCAATGTCTTCTATGTCAACTGACTGCACCAGCGTAAATTCCAAGTGGCGAGGTAATTGGTTGCTTTGAAAGAAATTCCAAATTGTATACATAAAGCAGCAGTACCATACGGTCAAAAAGTTCGCTCGTAACACATTAAAGACAATTCTGACCGACCGACTCTCTGTATGACATGTCTTTGTTACGTGCATTGCTAGATTTGGGTTGTAAAAACACTTAGTTTCCTACATTGCCTTACGGTCACTAGCTTCATATTACAGTCATATCACAGTCTAAGTTTTATCTATTTAAGTTGCATATAATGAGGTCATGCCCATTACGATAAATAAAACTTTTTAACATTAAATTCCATTGCTTTTTCACTTCACAAATAATCACAATTTCTGTAAACATATTGAAACATTGTACGAAAAACATAATTACATGATTGACTAATGATCAAGAACGGAAACTTATACATCATAGATAATTGTAAATGTAGTAAACATTCCTAATTTGAGCAAGACCTTGGTGAAATACGGTTTGTTGTTAATGTTTAATTAATTTCTAATTTGGGCAATATTTCTGCATTAAATAATAATAGAATTTGCACATGATGTACTGCCAGGAGTATACACCTGACTATAAATAGTTAATATGTTGTCAGCATAGGAAACCATCCATAATTCCAAGAATTATTTCATACCACTTATAATCTTTTTGTGGGATGTTTACGTTTTATATGAGACTACAGTAAATTAAAGTATTGTATATCTTTAACATTTCAACTATTACCGAATGGAAGTATAGATAATTATAACCACCAATCATTAAAAATGTATTTATCCACAATTGTAATTACAGGATTTTTTACAAAGGACATCTTGAAATTCTTGGAAATAAAATGTTACCTTTCTCGGAATGAAAAGGTTACACCAAAAGCTTCTTGTCTGTACGATAAACAGATTGGTGGTAGTTGAAATGTTAAAAAAATATACAATACTTTAATTAAATGTAGTCTCATATAAAACTTAAACATCCCACAAAAAGATTATAAAGTGAAATGAAATAATTCTTGGAACTATAAAAATGTTTAGGTTATATTGGTTTATATGAATAAAGTGAATGTCTATATAGAGAGGGAAAGATGATTTTAAGATGAGAATTTTTACAGACATTAGGCTCGACAATGTCAAGAAATGTTAAGTAAACTTGTTTTAAATAGCACCATAGACATAATAATTAACGTAATCAAAATCGTATATCAATTATATGATTTTAAGTTTTCACGCCTCTAGATGATTGGAAAAGGTTTAAACATTAAAACACCCAAGTGTGTGAAGTGACGACCAACGATACCGACCACTCCCCAAGCACAGGCTTA